CTATTCAGCATGGGTACGTCTACCCATGTGGACCTGAACGTGTACAGAAGTAATAATCGAGGGTCTTTAATGATTCCAAGGTCTCTAAATTGATGGAAATTCTGTAGAAATGATCAGTAAAAATAGAAAGAAGAAAGAATGGTAAGGTAAACGAGCTTTGAAAGGCAGGAGAGGATTTCACCAGGCTAGAGAGCTAGCCTACTGTTTTTGCTTTGATCCTCGGCTCGTTGAACGGTGAGCGATCGGCCTAGAATTATCCACGGTTCGAGCAACCATAGTGGCTAGTGCTGCTTTTACACAACCATTGTACGCACAAAGCGCATGGATAATTAGACCCATCCTGTTGCCTGCCTTTGGATTATAAGAAGGGCAGCGCCGTGCCCTTTGGGCAAAATTCAAGGTATCACCGAGCGAAGAAACTTTTCGCATAAAATGCACGGCCCTCGCGTATGTATGGCCAAGGATTTCAGAACTCTCAACAACTTCCGCGGAAAGACAAATACTGCCGTTGCAAGCGGAAGCGTGCGTTTCATCTGAAACATTCATTCTATCCAGCAGCTTGCTAACATGATAGTCTAAGGAAAATTCATGACAGAAAAGTTTGGTAAATTGCCCCTTGTGGTATATTAAATTAAAGCTTAAAATTTGCCCTAAAATGCCTTGTTCATACTTTCAACAGAAGTGAAGTAATAATTAAAGAAAGAAAGCTACTGCTCCGCTAGATGCTTAATTAAATATCTACATTAATTCTATCCCGGCAGCTGGTTAATTTCCGGAAAAACACCGACGGCTTCCAATAAATCATGCTTAGCAATTAATAGAACGATCAGTAAATTTAGATTTCTCGTTGAAATTATCGGCAACGCTTCTGACCCGGTTTCCACGCCTTCCATCGAAAGAGAAAAATTTGACAAATGACCGTTGAATGTTCTCTGTCATTAACTTCGTTTGGAAATTTAGTCGAACATGGTACGGGAAATTTCTCCTTCGCCGCCAATATTTATCCCTCGGAACAGTGTACCGTGTAGTCAACTTTCGAGTTTTCAGTTTGAAGGAAAAAAGAAAAAAGAAGGAAGGAAATTGTTATTTACGTTTCTCGGAAGTATGACGGCGGATGTGCTCGGAGCCGAAGCTTCAGGAAACTGTACTTTGGCCGAGATCGACGTTACTTATTAATCACAACCCGGTTGGGTTCTCAAAGAACCCGTCGCTAGACTCATTCATCGGCCTTGCTCTTCTTTTTTGGCGCCTTTCATCCACTAGACTTATCTCCTTCTTCCCTCGGCTTTTTTTTCCACCTTCCTACGGCCTCGTTGCTGCAATCTTCCCTTTTTTTTTCTCACTTTTTTCCTCGAATACTTGTCGCAATCACAGCTAACAAATTCCATTCGTAAATGACCCTATACGGTAAGGTATCCGCGCATACCGTTCAGCCACGATTACACTATCGACGGGATGCTTGGACATTTCTCGGACGATCCGAGAAACGGTTATTTATTGAGATTACGTTTATAGAAAATACGATTGGGATTGACGAGGATTTACGTCCGGTAAATCGGGGTTTTGGGTCACACGTGGGTATTGAGGGAATTTTTTTATGTGGAGAAGTTTGAAGTTCGCTCTGATGGGTATTCGTGACAGAAAAGTTTCTATAAATGGCACTTACGGTAGCTCAGATTAAAGGTTAAATTCTAGAGAAAATAACTGTATATGCGCACCGGTAATATTATAGATATGCCGAAAGTTATGAAAAATAGAAGAGAATCTATTACGAAATGGTAAATTTCGAAATGTAAAAAGTTTCAATCGAAAGTCATGACAGAAAATCTTCACGAAATGGCACTTACTGTAATTCAAATTAAAGCTTAAATCTTCACAAAAGTGCCCGTATTAACGCTTGATTAATATTCTTAACATAAACAAACTGAAGAGAAAAATAATCATCTCCTTGCATATATTTGCTAGAAAATACTAGCTCCCAGGTCAAAATTGCCCTGGTGTTGACTGAAGGAAAGTTAAAGAAATAACAGGTCTCTCGTAAATTATCACGAACACCTTGTATGTAGTTTGCCAAGCGATAATAGCCATCACGGTGTACACAGGAACAGGTGTGCACGCGTGCGTCGATCGATGATACACGTATCTTACACGGGTGAAATGGTACACATAGATAAAACGATTATATACAACATTGCTCTGTGTGCATACTTATCGTGATAACGATCTATCATGAAATCATTCATTTACAAAGTGACATTACTAAAGCAAAGTCAAGTTAAAAAGGGTATTACAAAAACAGTATAATGATACAATTGAAAAAAATTGCAAGCATTCGATGTTTATATTAAAAAAAAATTTTTTTAATTAAAATATTTTGTTAAGAATTTTTAAAATTATTTAGAGTAATTATTTATTAAGTAATAAATTGCAGTAGATATTAGGATCTATAGTGGACTCATTGTGTTGCCACTATCTACAATTTACTCTCACAAGAGAATTCAAAAAATGTTAATATTAATATCTAAACAATTTGCCATCTCAGAATTTTATTTTTTTATCTTCAACACCTTCTCCACAGTTGATAAGTCTACCCCCGGAATTTAAATTTAGACCCGGAAGTACGTGTGAGTAGAAACTTGGCGGGCTATTTAAACGCGCCAGCCAATTCCTGTGAATGAATATTCAAAAGGGAAACTCCTATAGAAGGTGGTCCTTCCCAGGTGACCTCTCGTGGAAACGACCAGGTGAAATGGTCCAAATCACGGGGAATATTCAGTTCCTCGTAGCAGCCGTTGCTAGTCGCGCAAATTATTCCGGCGATCTGGTGTAACCAAAACCGCGATTCTCCTTGCAAATTTCTTCGAAAGTGTCTTTGGGTATTTAATGGCTTCTTGAAATATCAATGGAGGTATCAGTCTCGATTAACCCCGTAGTTCTACGTGTGTCTGAAAAGTTTTTCCTCGAGACCGGATGCCGAAGGGCCCTCCAGAAGAAGTGCAGTCAGCTGCAACGCAGCAACTTGCAAGTTGCACTTTGAACGAAAAGGCGGTCCAGAAGTGTAATTCTACTTTGGACTGACCTCAATTTTTGGCTAGTAGATCAGTTTCTCTAGTAATGAAAATTATATTTGACCCACGGTGAGTTACACCACCTGCAACCTAATTTCGAAATACAAATATTTGAAGAGAAATGCAAATATTCCATTCGGTATAGTTTCAACGTAACAATAGCAAAGTACCATAAACGGTGGCCGGCCGCCAACTAATTTCCTCTGGGAAGAATCCTAATTTTTGGCAATTCTCGGGAATAATCGTCGTAATTAATAGTGGTAGAGGTTAACGGTAAAAGGCGGAGAGAAAGGTGCAACGGTGCATCGCAAAGTGCAGTTTCTGGAATGCAACCGCGTTACTGCACCTCACGTAATTTCCGTTAGCTAACACCGTTCGCCCACGTGCGGGTAATTCTTTCTATGGAATCTTAGATACTTCTATATTTCCATTGTCAGATCGAGAGAAGAAGATTCGAATACGAAATGGACGATTTTTATTGGATTAGGTTACTGTATGGAGGAAGGGGGCGAGTCTAAGGAGAATTCATGACACAAAAGTTTTGCGAAATAACACTCTTGATGGATCAAATTAAAGCTTATGGATTGCTCTAAATTTCTATATAAATGCACCTTTAATAGTTTTAGTATAAGCAAAGTTATTAAAAATATAAGAGAAGCTATTAATTTCCTACTTATCAAATGATAAATATTGAAATGTAAAAATTCTAACTTAATTTCATGACAGAAAAGTATTTCAAAATATCACTTATGGTACACGAAATTGAAGCTTAAAGTTTGCTGAAAATAACCCTATAAACGCATCGAAACTCCTCTACATATTCATCCCCTGGCGCATCAATCTTCAGGTAATTTGCTAAAGCAATGTAAAGTGGATCATCTGGTAGTAGCATGACGTATATCGTAATCATGTTCTCGAAGTTAATTCGTGGAAGGTATCGATGAAACGATAACACGAGGAAAGCGATGAAAGAACACATACCGTAGAACGAGTTCAATTTCTTCGTTTTCCACTGTTCTATTCAGCTGGTAGCCGTTTCTTTTGCCATGAAAGAACACCATCAGGAAGCTTTCCTTCCTAACCTACCCCTTTTCTCGCTCTAATACATATATATATACACTCTCTTTTTCTTTCTCGTTTACTTGGACGTCACGCTACGAAATTCATTGTATCGCGACAGCTACGAAGAATCGATATTTCTCGTTGCCGGCACCAGCTCGCAATCCGATAAACGAATGATGAGAAGATTGCAACCGGTGCAATAAATGGATATAGGTGTGCCAGCTTATAGGGGAACGGTTAATTGATTAGATTGATAATAGATGCCAAAGTATATTTTTAGAAATAGATTTAGATTTGAAATTCATTAATTGCTATTTCTAATATCTAACTTTACATTTATAGATAACTTTATTAATATTAAAAATACTCAGGGTGCACGAACATAAACATCTTCGGTACACTTTAAGCTTTAAATTGATGCGCTACTGATGGAATTTTGAGATATTTTTATGTCATGAAAAATAATAAAATCATAGATCGTATATTTACGTAACGACGGATATTATTTCTCATCTAATAGCGAATATATTCGTCGGTAGAAACAGTAGTCTGGTAAGAGAACAAATAGAAGCTCCATCTGGGCGACCTCTCTGCATAATGCATACCATCGTCTTGTTCATCGACTCGACTCCGGCCTCTTCTTCGTTCCTTCGTTAGCCTTTTATCTCACCCGCTACCTTATTCAAGAACTCGTGCATGTATATAGAAGTCTTGGACGAAAAAGAACAAAAGAAGCTCGCGTCTCATCCTCCTTGTTAAGAAACTGGGCAGGATTTTTAACGCGACCACGCGCGAAACTTTTCTTCTTCCATCGCATCGCATCGTTGTAACGTTCCTCCTTTTTTCTTTTTCTTTTCTTTATTGTTGCAGGAATGACGATCGAAGCGGCGATGACGAGGATCAAGAGCGATCGTTGATCGGTGATACAGCTGGCTGCGGGGCCACTCGCTTCCAAAATGAGCGCGTCGTTGCGAGTTTTGGCGCTGATCAGCTTAGCCGCGCAAAACCTCGCCTGGCCTCAAGATCCTGTTCCCAGGCTGCACGTCAAACACCGTGAGTACCATTCAAACGATTCTCGATCGTTATCAGAGCCACAGTTTCAGTAAAGGAATTTTATAATTGCGATAATGTATCGTTAAAATCGCTGGTCCTTTGCGTGTGAAAATTCAATAAAACGAAGCCGCATACTCGCCACCCTGATTTTATAGATGCATCGGATTACCAAATTGCTCCGGGCTCTGCCGTTTTAGAATCTACGCGAATATTATATTAAGATTAATCATATTAATCGACCGGGAAGCAACGGTCGAATTTTATGCAACCGCGCATTTCATTTTACCCGATTAACTTTGATAATCGCTTCACGTTTGATACAATTGTTTCCAATCTTTGTCAATCTGTGATTTAATTATTTTAACGGTTTATATTAAGAACAACGAGATTGCATTTAATTGTCTTGGGAAAAATCAAGGATTCGTGAGAGAAAAGCTCCTTAAAATAGTACTAGTGGTACGTTAAATTAAAGTTTCAAGTTTCAGGAGAATTATTATATGAATTGTTCATCAGTATTCTTAATATACCTATAACGAATGGTTCTTTTTTAAAGCAAACAATACATTAAACGGGTGTATTATCATTCGCTAAAGAATATTGTTCGTTGCGATCCACAACCAGTCGTTTTGTATTAGAAATAACTGTGGGACGTTTATGTCATTATTTTCAGTACACTTTAAGCTTTATTTTGACATATCACAAGTGCCATTTTGTCATACTTTTCATTCATGAAATCTTTGATAACAATTTCATTCTTATCAAAATATCTAATAGCCTTCTTTTTCTATTGACATTACTAGTACTATGAGTCTCAACGGTGCACGTGCATAGAAATTTTCGTCAATTTTTATCTTTTAATTTGCCGTACCATAATGCCATTTTGACATACTTTTTCTGTGATAAAATCTTACGATATTTTCAACCATCCTGCAGATTTACGTATCATGTTAAACGAAATGAATCCTATAAATTCCTAATGAAATCAGTCCGTAAGGCGTTTGAAAAGTAATTTTCCGCGTTATCCATCGTCGTCGAACCGGGTCGTTCTTTCAGGTCCGTTGTTTGCACGGTGGCTTAGCGAGAACAATAAACGGAACCGTTTTCGCGCGAATTCACCGATAAGAAAAAGTTTGTTCGTTTCTCGGCCGTTCTTTTCACACGGGAAATTTCATTTCCTTCGCGAGAGATAGAGGATGGAAAATGAAACGAAAGGTTGTCGCCCTGCGGTCGAGGGGTTACGCTTTACATCGGTCGTTTTCGTCTTCGTTGTTTCCGCACGAGCTGAGCACCTGTGGATCATCCCATCGTCTGTACCTTAAATATTAATCTCCAAATTCAACACGTTATCCCGGATAAGAAGCCAATGAACAGAGCGGGACGGTCGGGGTTAGAGAGGGGGGACAATAAATTCAGTGTTAGAAGACAATGAAGTCTCTTGGAAAGAGTAAGGGTAGGCAGGGAACAATAGGGGCGTAGGTGTGACAGAGACGGGATTAGTTGAGCGAGTTTAACGACCCTTCGAAATCCGTGGGTGAATCTGGCTGGAAGCTTTTGACACGGATCAAATATTGGCGTGTGTCGTGTCGATCGACGCGGCCACACCGCGTTTCGTCCGCTTTGGTAAATCCTATTGAGTATTCAATTACCCTAGCAACCGTTTCGGGGGATACATACGTTCAGTCTGTTGCCTTCGGTTCACGAATGAAATTGGACAGTCCCGTTTCGTACAAACCTCGTGCAACCGATCGTGACTTCGCTTGCTTTCGACCAATTCTGTCGAGATATTATGGAAATACACGGCACGGATAATGACACAACACGGGGACAACAGTCATCAACGAATTTACCTTCCTCTTCTCTCTGCCACGCGGTTCTTTAATGTACACTCATTGTCGTCGGGGTCAATGATGATTGACGCGACAAATGCCATATAGATTGGTAATCAAGCATAAATAAGGGATGAATAATTTTACCGGTGGAAAGTGGACAGTTAGATGATTAATATTGAAAATGATTAGAACGCACTAGGTGCGTCATAGCAAACCGACACGAGACGCTATTACCTACTGTCACATTATTCACAGCAGGCATTTTAATGATACAGTGTTTTTATTGACAGAGTAGTCGGTATATTTCGAGGAACGTATAAAAGCTTTGTATTTGCATAAAAAGCATATTCCACGTTTTATAGAGCCGTGTATACATATATCGCGTGCGTTAATATTCATCGCGTTTTGTAGAGTGCGAAGAAGAGAAACTGGAAGGCGCGTTATACATTTTTTACGATGTTTTGGGTAATTATATTATGCCAGGTGATATTAATTGTAGCAACAAAAGAGAGAGAGGGAGAGAGAAAAAAAAACAGATGTTCTATCAAGCTCTAATCTCGTATGACCTAATTTACGTTTGACGCATCGGTACGAGCCATTGATGCATATAAAAAATGCAATTTGTAATTTAAAAGAAAATGAAACCATGCATGTATCATAGTATCCCAAAATGGCATTTGTGACACAGAGAACGGTTTTTTAATCATTGTTAACAGACAGTGTTGCGCTATGTAAGGGTGCATCCAATGCAACACCCGGTTGCATTCGAGCAGCCATTGACGCAGCATGAGCGGTTCTCGGAGCTTAACAAAGTTCTTCTGAGTCCTAACGAGCTTACTCTTGGCAAAAGCCAGTCAAGTGTACGGCTTCCGTCGTTGCGATGCAATGGCTAACCTACATACCGACTTATTATTGCGATTCGTAACTACAAACCGTGTGGATATATACGGCTGCATGTACAATGTATATACATATCACTCTAAGTATCCACTCTGTGCTTGTTCACTCGCAGTTCTTTTCCCCTGCTCTCTTATGCACTTTCAACCGATAAACTTGAAACACGGTTGATATTTTTCAATTTGTTATTAGGTTGTATCCGTCAGACATTGTATTCGCATAATGTTGCGGTAACACGCTCGTTAATCATTGATCATACATTCATCGATGTAAATTTCAGTGTGTTATTAATGCATGTTTGTCGATGTCAGAGTACAATGCATCAACCAACTATTCATTCGAGATTCAACAGAAATAGAGGGGAAAAAATTCTCGTTACCTGGCATGTCCATAAACCTCGAAAAGAATTTCATCACTGGTATTATAACATTCCGTATACACGGTATATACTTCTGTTGACCCGGTGTATCTTTCTGGAAATCTTTCCGCGGGAAATGGCGCAAGGAGACGTGTTTTAAAATGTGAGCCAGTATAACGCCGGTTCATACCGGCTGCACAGGTGCTTATTCCGATGCAATTCGGCTGCATGCATAGAGAACGCAGGGACAGAACAGGTAGTCCAGTTCCATTAAACCGTTCTTGGGTGTAGCCAGCGTGACGGGCGTAGCTGGCCTCCTTGTTTATATTTATCGTTGAAATTCAGATACAATGCTTGCGTTCCACGTGAAATTTTGCTAATTATCCTGCGGCATGGTACACGGCTCGCTTCATTTTTCGAAATGAAAAACTGAAACTCAAAGAGTAGAAAGATTTTTTTATATTTATATGGAAAGAAAAAAGATCATTTTCGTTGTTATCCTAGGATGACGTAACGTTTGCGTCGATGGTTGTTTAATTTTTGATAGGAGAAATGGAGGACGCACTGTATGCGTCATATCGTGTCTCATATGTGTAACAACTGACGCATATGGTGCGTCGTGAACTATTTCGACGCACTCCGTGCGTCATATCTTATTATACTTGTGTGACATACCTGGTGCATCATACCCTACTTTTCTATACCTATTATCTGACGTACCTGGCGCGTCATCAGTTATTTTATACGAACGCGTCAGTGACGGAAAATGGGTTAACCATGCAAAATAAGAAATCGACAAAGGCGCATGGCTTGTTTCGCAACGTGATTTAACGAGACGTGAGTCCATTCTCGAAAGCTACGATAAATTTTCACGTAAATCCATCGACTGGAAGAATAGACACGGATAGCTAGCGAACGAGGATAATGGAATTCTTTAATGCTCCGTTCACGAATGGGAACAATAAATTGTTCTATCTAGATCGTTTCAACCGAAATTATAATAGAACCTTAATTATTCAGATTCTTTTGGCAAACGTGTTGTTAAATCCAATCGATGGCAATGCCTGTGCTTCAGTTAATTTTTCATATCTCGAGCCAAGAGTTTTACTAGGATTGAAGTTTGTCCAAATTGCTATTCCATTTTCCTGCTGGATACGTGTCCTCTATCGCAGAAATATTATCGTCTCTGGGAACAGCTTAGTTAGACGCGCAATTACGAAATTAGTCGAACGTTTATCGAGCTGAGAAACCGTTAATTCTAATTGGTAGGTTACTTGGGGGAGCAGAGAATTTGCAACGTTTCATTTTCCAACTAGAGTCTTCTATACCGAGATATTCTACCTGAAAAATTATAGAGCATCCGCTGATCCTTTTGATCAATAATTTAAAAAAAAAAAAAAAAAAAAAAGTAAAAGTAGAAAATCTGTGAAAAGTAATCCATAAGTGAAAGCGGTAAAATCGTTAACGCGAATAAAAGCCCTGAAAGGCTTTTAATAAAAGCTATACACACACACTTTGAAGGTAAGACTATAAGTTGGAGCTGAAAATGCCATTACTTAGGCGCGATTAAATGCAACCACCACTTCATCAATTCCGGCCACTAAATCAACTCCATAACTACATCCACACACAGAGATAACGTAATCTAGCGTAACGAATCTTTGTGGTTCTGCATTCGGTCTTGTTAATGGTCAAAGTTGGCCGGATCAAAAGGTAAATGGAAATCACGATGTGGTCTCTTTCGATAATTAACGTTCTATGGTCAGCCAATAACATTCAAACAGGTACATACAATAGGGTGAAATCCTTTGAAAATAATTAATTTGCAATTAGAAACTTCTTCATATTTCCATGATGCATAATTTATACACTGGTTTTGTAGTATCACTGGAAACTACATCAAAAGTTAATTAAGA